TGGTTACTGATACATCTGATATTACTGTTTAATGACACTGCTAATAGTATTTTTTATTGTTTTTCTAAATATTAATGTTATTTTTATTGTTCTTTATTCAGGTATTTGTTTTTAAATTTTTTTTAGTATTTTGAGCTGTTAGCCGAAAAAGTATAGCCACTAAATACCGACTATTCATATCGTTGTCGGTTTCATTTTTCTATTTGTTATGCTCGTTTTTCGTTCCTCTCTATTTATTCATTGCCTTTTCTAAGTTCATTATCATTTCGTTATTTTAAAATTAATTACATGTACAGTTAATGATACTGTCAAGAATTTTCCTTTTTTCTTTTATCGTATACACATTATCTAACAGAAAAGATTTAGGATTCAATGCAACGACGGTTGCCAGAATCAACCATTGAACATTTTGATGCCGAACCTCGTCCTGCGACATTTCCCAGTGTTTATCCAGGTTTTTTTATGTTTTTTTTTTTCAACTTTGATGTTCTGCACTTTTCTTTTTTTTTCGTTTTTTTTACTGATTTATTACTGTTCTTGGTTTATGCATAACTATATCTTCAGTCTAGTTAGTTTAGTAAGGGGTTTTTCTGTTTTTTTTTTCTTTGAATTGTTGGTAGTTGTAGATGATGATGACGAATTGGTGAGCTTGAAAACAAAAAGAAAACATCATATTCTTCTTTTCTGGGCACAGTCTATAGCAGTGTTTTGTGTAAATACTGCCACTGTAACTTTCAACTGCAAAAAAGTCAACTATTTGGCATGCCACTTACTGTTTAAGCTAAACAATTCTCGCAGAAACTGTCGTCACAGTTACTGCAACGGTTTGTCAATAGTTACCAAATTGACAGTTGTGGCAGTATCAAAAGACAATCTAAGAGACAAAAGAATTAAACAAGTAGCTTGTAACAGTAGGAAAGGTTGAAGAATATAGGAGATTAAAAGAAGCGATCTTAAATAGAGTGCATTCAATTTTTTTTTAAATTCTCACAAATCTCTTAGTAAATTCTTTTTCTCAAGAGTAAAAAAATTTCTGTTTCAAATTTTGTTTTTTTTTTTTCAGATTTTTCTATCTTTTTACCACGTTTTTCATCGTTTTTTGTTCTTAACTTCTTCTGCTGCGTCATTTTTTCCTCTTTTGTTTCAATGTCTTTCAAAATTTACAATTTCTTTTGCCGTTCAGTTGAAACTTTATCAGCGTAAAAAAGATGGAACTATAATCTTTGGTGTCCCCAATTTTTCGTTTTAAAAGCTTTTTTGTCTTTTTTTTTTTT